AGACAAGATAAACCAGTAGGCTTTATAGGATTCCTTTATTTTTTCTAAGCAGTAGCTTTAATTTCAACTTTATTTTTTTTAATTTTATATTAAATTAACAGGATTTTACTCAGAAATCCGGTGATTATCACAAATTAGCCAATGTGGCAGATTGAGTGCATTGAAGGAAAGGAATTAGAATTTTTCTGAAACTTGGTTTTCTCATATCTGCACTGTTGAAAAGAGAGCACAAGATATATTATCCCATCATCACAAGACTTATTTTTTCTTTATTTTTAACAAAAAATGATTTTTATAATTTTATGAATTGAGTGAAAGCTTTTTTTTTTAATGTAATTTTATTTTGAGGCAAATAAACACAGGTTTCTGTCTGTTTTTTTTTAAGTTTTACTTAGAAATGGCTTCTCATTTCTAGGATGAATTTCTTTACGAGAAAGCAAAAGAGGCACAGCCTTTGTTTGTGTCTGGTGCATGAGACCTCAGTCTTTTGTGACCAAACAGTGGCAACTGATTATCACTCCTATGAAACACCTGTAATTCAATTGGAAGATCTCATAGGGATAAATATTTATTTTAAGAGCTTGAGCACAGACTGAGATGACAAACTATAGAAATAGCTGTCTGTCAGGAAGTCACCAAATAGAATTGTTGATCTTTCATCTTTACTAATACAATAGACTTGCCTTTAAAAAAAAAAAAAAAAAAAAAAAAATTGTTGTCAGCATTAATTCCCTTAAGCATTAGAAAGGTATAGGCATAGGTAACAACATACTATCTCAAATTTCTTCTGGGGAAATTAATAATTTGATTTCTTAGCTTTGTTGTGCCTGTATTGTGATGAAGTAAATGTTGACAGAATGTAGTATTTGCTTGAATAGTGGTACACGCATGTTAAAACATTGCAAGAGAAGACTTCATCCTATTTAGAACTTTGAACGTGACTTGTCTTCAGATCTTTTATTTTTCATCTACTGAGTACTGTGCTGAGGACTTCCAAAGGAAAAGAATCACAAAAATAATGTATTAAGAATCTTAATATTATGAATTGTAAATTAATGTTATGAAATATAGCTACTAACAGTGTTAACTAGCATACTTCAATATTCTTAGTTAGCATCATGAGCTACATACTGTCATAGTTTAACTCTGGTAGGGAGCTCAGCCCTACAAAGCCTTTTGCATACACCCCTCTCAGTGGGATGGAAGACAGAGTCAGAAAGCTAAAAGTGCAAGGTACTAGGCAAAGAAAAAGCTGCACATGCTGGCAAATCAAAAGAAGGAATTCATTCAGTATGTTCCATCAGCAGACAGGTGTTCAGCCACTTCCAGGAAAACAGAGCTTGTGACACATAACAGTTTATTGGGAAGACAAATGCCATAATACTAAGCATCCCTCTTCCGCCTTTTTTTCCCCAGTGTTATTTTCCTGAGCATGATGTCATATGGAATTGAATATCTTTTCCACTTTCTTGTGTGCTCCCATCCTCCTCACTGGCAGGGCAGGAGAAGCAGAAAAGTCTTGACGCTGCATAAGCACTGCTCAGCAGTAGCTAAAACACTGGAACATACTTTTCATCCTAAACCAAAAAGGCAGCACCGTACCAGCTACTACAAAAAACAAAAACAACCAAAAAAGCCAGATACAATTACATAATTTATATAATAAAATAATGTCTAAAACACCTTTGTGATAATTGATTTTTTGACATAGTAAGAAAATTAAGTTATCTCAAAAATGAAAGTGTAATTTAGAATCAATTTTCTCGTAGTATAACTTTGATTAAGAAATACAGTAAAAAATCCAGTTATTACTATTTTTGACCTAGCCATAGATCAAGAATATTAAATGTAAAAATATACAGCACTGCATAAATATATAAACTGTATTTTATCTAAACCCATTACAGTAATATGAAAACACTTATCTGCTGTGAGGGAAGAGAATAAAATATTGATATTTAAGCTAATGAGGTTAAATGTGAACATATGATATGTTCAATAATACAAGTTCAAGAAATATCTCAGACTGGTACACATTTTAATGCACTTCCTGATAAAATTTTAATGACTGCCATTTTTATCAAAAGCAGCAGAATTTGGGACATGGTCATTTTCTTGTGGAAAAAGAAAATAAATGTTAAGAATGTTTTTATGTGCAATTTATTCGTGTGCAATTTCTTTGCAAGCATTTGTATCAAGCTGTTGACTTTGGTCACCTACAGTTGCCTTATTTAAATATGCTGCCCTCAAGGAACAAAAATATCTTCTGTTTTCTGCATACATCTATTTCTCTTTTGTCTATGCCTTGTATTATTTTAATAAGAAAGAGGACAACCTAGCACCTCGAATCTCCATCCACTCATATTACAGATATATGCATACATTGCTTTAGCCTGACTATAGTATTAGTATTTATTTAGTGACTTTTTTTTTTCCAAAAGGATTTTTTTTTCTCATCTGAAATCCAGACACATGCAAGGAGTTTTCCTTCTTTGTAACTGAAGTTCAGTTCATGATTGGCACCTAAAATCGGAAGCAGCGGTCTGCTGTTTACATGTACCAGCTAGTAATGTTTTAGGTATCACAGAACATATTACCTGCCAAAAGCTGACAGACTGATAAAGGAAAATCACACTTTATTCATCAGCAATTGAAGTCCAGATGAAGCAGCTGACAGTCCTTAAAATAAATCTAGCTGCCTGTGTTTAGATAATGGCATTGTAATTTGCACATGTTTGTATATTTGTGGAGGGGACTAAATATTCCTGCTTCTCAGCCATCAGCTGCACTCCAAAAACATTGGGAGTCCTAAATAAATGTTGTACAAGATCTTCCAGACGGTACAGGTGTGGTGCCATATGTAATTAAAACCTGCTTTAATTTGTTATAAGCAGGAGATTATAGGGATCATCATCTAGAAGTAGAACTCAATTGCTTAAATATGGTCATTGAGAGTTTGATCCAATTCTGGATGCCTTGGGGTATCTGATATAAGGATCTGGTGGTTGTGATGCAGAATCTGCGTAACAGAGTTTTCTGGACTGCTATCAGTAAGATCCTGAAATTATTCAGAAAGGTGCAGACCTCAGGAGATCTCTAGTCAAAATGCTAGCTCAAGCAGGGTCAGCTACGAGGTTAGTCCAGGCTGCTTAATCCAGTGGTATCTTGAAAGTCTCAAGGGTGTTTTATAACATCTCAGATGCCACTGGATATGTCTGTACAGGCAATTGATTTGAATACTTAACACAATTTGTAGCCTTATTTCATATAAATATAATTTTTTTCAGCTGTATTCACGGACCATCTGTATGTAGTAACCTGTTATAGCTTTTATGCCAATGAAGAAGATAGACACATTATGGAAACACAGAATCATAGAAACACCATGGTTGGAAAAGAAGATCCAACTATCCACCTATCACCAATATTTCCCACTAAACCACATCCCTCAGTACAACAACTAAACGTTTGTTGAACACCTCCAAGGGCAGTGACTCCACCACCTTCCTGGGCAGCTTGGTCCAGCATCTGACCACTGTCTTGGAGAATTATTTCTAATGTCCAACCTTAATCTCTCCTGGCACAACTTGAGGCCGTTCCCTCTAGTCTTACTGCTAGAGATGTGGGAGAAGAGGCTGACTCACACTTCACCACAACCTCCCTTCAGGAAGTTGTAGAGAGTGATAACGTCACACTTGGGCCTCCTCATCTCCAGACTGAACAATCCCAGCTCCCTCAGCCATTCCCTATAAGATTTGTGCTCCAGACCCCTCACCAGCTTTGCTGTCCCTCTCTTAACATGCTCCAGGGCCTCATTGTCTTTCTTGTAGTGAGGGGCCCAAAACTGAACACAGTACTCAAGATGTGCACTCACCAGGGCTGAGTACAGAGGAATGAATCATCTCCCTGCTCCTGCTGGCTACACTTCTGATACAAGACATTTCTGATACCACTGGCCTTCTTGGCCACCTGGACACACTGCTTGTTCATGTTCAGCCAAGCATTGATCAACACCCCCAGGTCTGCTTTTTCTACATAGTCTTCCAGCCACTCAGCCCCAAGCCTGTAGCACTGCCCGAGGTTGTCGTGGCCAAAGTACAGCATCTGGCACTTGGTCTTGTTGAACTTCATCCCATTGGCCTCAGCTCATCTATCCAGCCTGTCCAGATACCTCTGTAAGGCCTTTCTACCCTCAAGTAGATCAACATTTCCTGTAATGAGGGTGCACTCAATTCCTTCATTCAGGTCATTGGTAAAGGTATTGAATAGGACAGGCCCCAGTACCAACCCACAGGGACCACCACTCATGAGCCATCGTCAGCTGGATTGAACTCCATTCAGCACCACTCTCTGGGCCCAGCTATCCAGCCAGTTCTTTACCCAGGAAAGAGTGTACCTGTCCAAGCCATAGACTGCCAGCTTCTCTGGGAGAATACTGTAGGAGTATTCATGCTGTCTAGGCCTGATCTCTTACTTGTTCCACACATGCTGTTTGATTTCCCTCAAGATGATCTGCTCCATCATCTAGATTATTAATCCTTAATTTTGCCAGTAATGCAGGAAATCAATAAATTCAAAACTTGTAGAATAAAGTTTTGTTTCTTTGTTTGTAGGTGTTTTTATTATTATTATTAGTTATACATGTTATATATGTTATTATTTTGTAAAGGATGTATTACGAAATACTGCACAATGTTTTTATATGGAAATGTTGTGTAACTGCATGTTCAGGATAATTTTTCAATGTTACTTTGGGAACCTACAGCTCCTGGAGGCTGAAGCATACAAGAAAATATTTTATTTCCTTCGGTGTTTTCAGTTAAGCAGTCTTAAGGGATGTTAGGATAACCTCAGTTAAATATTGATTTTTTTTCATGTCCTTTAAACAAACAAACAAACAAATAATCAATCCCACAAAAGACTATGTTCTGTATTAAAACGATAAACACATTACATCAGTTTTGTGATCTAGGCATTTTTTATTATCTTGTCATCCACAGATCCTGGCTGACCTAGAAAACCACGCACTTTTTAAGGATGACCTAGAATGCCAGAAACTTATTCTGGAAGCCATGAAATATCACCTTTTACCAGAGAGAAGAACTCTCATGCAAAGTCCAAGAACTAAACCTAGAAAATCTACAGTTGGGACACTTTATGCTGTTGGAGGAATGGATAACAACAAAGGTATTAAATGATATTTGTTACCTTATAAAAGTTATATTTTGTGTTTACTTTATTAGAAAATAGTGAAATAACTTTCTATTATTTGTTTAGGGTGGAGAAGGAGCATATGTAAGTCAGTGTAGAATTGCTGCCAAAATCCAAGTCAGGAAAACTGTCAATAGTTTTGGTCCAATTAAGATCTACTTACACTTAAAGAAAAATGTAATGTTGTTAGAGAACTGAAACTGAGTTTTGAGTTCATTCTCTGCTCAAAATTACTGTGATTTCCAAGAATTTAAATGAAGTATCTGTAGCAACGTTCACTTACCTTACTTTTAGTTTTATAAAAATTCTCTTTCATTTCTGTTTTGTGGGAGAGATAATAAATAAATAAATAAATAAAAAGAATCAATAAACTAGAACTCATATGTTGACATAAAACTATTTGCAAAGAAAATGAAAAGGATAATAATTACAACAAATGAACATGTATCTCAATGTAAATAACAAGTGATGTGAAAGCAATTTCTCATTTCCCCCCCATTGATGCCAAGTAGTCTCCTTAACAGCTGAAGAGAGTGAAATGAATTGTCACCTCCTTCAAAACTCCTGCATGATCTAATATGGTACAAAATACCCCCATAGCCCAGCTTAATTTAGCTGTCCTAATTCTGTTCCATCACATCTCCTTGGGCATGTAGAGGAACTCTTGTGTCATTGCCTGGAATAACAATTGAGCACCTGGTGAAGGGGATGGCTGACCTAGGAAGTATAGGTTCAAACAATTTAGCTGTGCTGCTCACCTGACCAGAACGAGTGGACCTTGGGTCTTCTCCTCCCACTCCTCACCCGCCCTTGCTGGGCTCATTCTTGGGTTAACCTCATTAAAGGCTGGTCCTGGGAAAGAAGGTATGTTCTACAGACAGAGATTCTGTCAACAGTTGGATGAGTCAGCTTTTTTTTTTTATTTTATTTTATTTTAATTGGTTCCCAGTTATACTTTGCTTGGCATTGCAAACAACTTGTCAGAAATAGTTTTGATGCTCTGCAGGGTAAACAGGGCTAGAAAAGGGCTTTGTTGAGAATGGCCTTGGCTCTATACAACGCCACAATTATAAATGTTGGTGTGTTATCAGCATTGTTTTCTCCTAGAACCAAAACATACCACCATGCCAGATGTTCTGAAGAAAACAATTTTATCCCAATTGAAATTAAGGCAAATCTTATGCATGAATAATACTTTTCAGGTGCAAAAAGTTATTAGTCAGTCAGAGGAAAAGACTGGACAAAAAGCTTTAACTGGGTTCTCACTTTCTCAGCATCTGAAGAGGGGTTGAATTATGCTATTAACTGCTTTTAAAAAAGTAAGAAGTGATATGATAGAAATGTTATCAAATATTTTTTGTGGGCAGTTATGATTAAGAAGGCTAGTCCACTGATTTTTTTTGACTGAAGTAAGATATTTGAGGTAAAAGCTGCCTGTCTAGTAAGCCTATATTTTTGGGGAGGTTTTCATTATTAATTTGTCTTGAAATTCAGTAACAATTCCACAGTATCCTACAGTTCCTATGAATATTCAGACTGAAGAATATGCCTTCAGAAGCCAGAGTTCTACTGTAAAAGAATGTTCTCTAATAAATAAATAAATAAATAAATAAAATGCATGCAATGAAATTAAATCTTCATACAGATCTGTGTTTAGGGTTAGTTCTTGAAGTTGTTTTGCTGCATAGTCAGGGTAATATCTTTTTCAAAAGAAATTTTTCCCACATAACTACAGCATCAGGAGAGCTGTATGTGCCTGTGTAGCATCTGCAAAGGAGGGTGTTACAGCTTATGTAACATGTTCCTAATAACTCTGCAGCCATTTTGCACTGGCTTGCATCTGTTCAGTTCATCCCATGTGATGCTGCCATATCCAGGGCTATTTGGGCACTATGAGGCTTGATTCTCAAATCAGTTCAGCAAATCTGAGTGCTGGTTGCATGTTTTGAAGAATTACTGTGAATTAGTACAGTACACCTCAGTCTTCAGGTCATGAGATGATGCAGATGTTGCATTATCTTTCCTCATTAATTAGTATTTTCTCCACAACTTTCTCCAAAGAAATGCTGACATGGATTACTGTTACTTGCAATGGTGTATTTTTAATGCTTTTTGATGTTTGTTACCAGATATAAAATGTTACATGTAAGATGGAGGTGAGCTAAGCAAATTATCAGTTTAAGAGCTTGTATATAAAGCAGTGGGTAACTGCTGGTATTGTGAAAGTATTTCAAGGTTATGTGACCCACTTCATAAAAGTAGCCTACCATGCTAAAGCAACTTTGTTTTGCAATCTCTCCTATAATTATTCTCCTTTCCATAGAAGAAGTGATAATTAAACTCCAGCAGACAGTGACTGGAATTATGCCTGACATGAAAAGTTAATGTAGCATAGTACTAACTGGATAGAATGAAATGGAGCAAGGTTAGATCATTCAATAATTTTAATTCCCAACTTGTGAAAACCTCATTTAAATGTCTTTTCACCCATTTTTGTTTACTTATTCATTTGATTTAAAAGACACATATAATCTGTTTCTTTGTTTCTTATACGGGCTGTATTGGTAGAACGAGAGGAAGGTGTAAGGAAGGTGTGATTCCAAATACATGCTTCTGATAATACTCTGTTCCCCTTACCCATTCATTTAGTCACATTAACTTCTGTAACTTAAATTAGCAGGATTTATTCACCTAGTAGTAGACAAAAGATGTCCAGATGCACATAAAAAGGAGAGTGTTAGGCTGTAATAAATGAGTAAATGCATGAAGTGATATTTGTCAATTTCTGAGAATGCAAAAACACTGACATTGGTCTTGCAATCCCAAACAGAACAAAGCTGTGTGGTAGAACATAGTCTTTACAGTCTATCCTAGGAAATGCATTTTAAAATTACAATAGGAGAAATATATTTAGACAGCTAGAGGAGATTTGTATAAGCAATTAGACAGTGTTATGTTGATGACAGAATATGAATGATCTCTACTGAAATATTTCAACCTGTCAATACTAAGGAAAAGGAGTATCCTTTGAAAAACAAAGCAGAAAAAAAAAGATCCCAGAAGACTGGTATATAATATTTTTGGGAATCGAAGTCCTAGATTATTGTATGATTTGTTGAATCATAGTCTTTAAGTAAATAAGTAAATGAAGGAGAAAATACAAGGAAATAATGAAAAATTACATAAGCAAAAAACCTCTTCCAGGAAGATGACATCTCATTAACAGAGGACAGAGTTCATTTACTGATTATTAAATATGTATTTATGCTTTAGTCTTGTGATTAAACATAAAATATATCTGGAACATTACTTTGATACTATGTGAAGCGCATCATCGGTCTATCAAACCTTAGAGATTTTGTCATGATTATTTCGGGCTGCCTAGAAAGATCATTACTTTCACTACAACAATAAGAAAAAGTGAAGCTTTTAAAATGTGAAATTTTGAGGTCTTCAGTCACTTCTGCTTAACTTCCTATGTTGTATATTTTTCCTTTTTTTTGTATTAGTTCTCAGTCTCTTGTAATAATCTTTTTTCTTTAAAAATGTTTTATCAAATGTGCTTTATTTCTTATGTAATATTTATTATAACTACATGAAATTGCTCTTTTCTCTAGTGAACTTCTAAAATGCTCTTTTCTCTCTTTTGTTGTGTTTTTGTTATGTTTTTTGTTTTTTGTCATCATTTTTTATAAAGACTTCTTGCAGAACGCTTTCCTTGAACCTCATTTATTTTAATTGTAAATTTTTCATTCTCATATAGGCATGTTTTAAATACTGAAAGAGGTATTGTCCAACCTACTGACATTCTTAATCTTTTAGGAGTCTGCTGGAAGTACTGAAAATTGAGGCAGAAATAATGAAAGCATCTAGGTTTTCCTCTTAGTTAATTATTCTTGGTCTCTCTAAGAAGTGTGCCTGAGATGCTGAGATGGTTTTGTAGCATTTTGTACGCAGCTTATAGCATTTTTCAGGTTTGGAATTTACTACAAACCATGTTGCCATCACATATATAAACAATATTCATGAGAAATTTTGTGTACATAGCGATATGGAGAAAGCATTTTAGATTTGATATTAGGTAGGAAATATTTCTTCACTTAAAGGATTGTGAAGGGTTGAAACAGGCTCCCCAGGGAACTTAGCCAACATCCCTGGAAATATTTAAAAGATGTCAAGATTTGGTCCTTAAGAACATGGTTTAGTGGTAGACAGTGCTAGGTTGTCTCGCTCCAATTTATAGGAGGGAGAGGAGGTTCTTTTATTATCTATATACCCGGCGTGAGATTAAGAAGCAACGGTTCAAATGTTGGTCCGACCAGTTTATTACAAATCTTAATCAGGGGAAATGGGGAAGGGGAGAACGGACACTATTATGAATTAGGGTAATGGGGAAGGGAAGGAGGGCGATAGAAAAGATAGAAAAGAAGAAGCAAGGGATCTTTATAGGCAGCAAGAGGGAGATGGTCACCACCATGGATCCAGCCTGGTTCGTAGTTCAGTCTTTGATCTTCAGTAGCGGTGGGTCGTCAGGCAGAGTTGTTCTGTTGACAACGACGACGACGACACGGAATGACGACCATGGTGATGATGGCCCCTTTTCAATAGTTTCAGAGTGGTCAAGTCAGCTGTCTTTAGAGTGACAGCTCAAATCCAAAGTGGTTGAGTCAGCTCTCCTTTGAGTGGCAGCTTCTGGCTCTGGGATCTCAGCAGAAACTCCTTTGTTCCCATCTTCCGGGCCTTGCCAGCAGATAAGAGGGAGCAGGGGTGCCCATCTGCATCCTGTTTCTCACAGAACACGATGGTATCGTTCCCCAATTTTCCCACAACTAGCTGGAGCTGTTTAGTCACCGGCCAGATCTTCCACCAGTAAACACTCCTGAGCACTCTCATCCACTCTTCTACAGAGCAAGCAGCTCTGGAGGAAGGGGCTTTCAAATGTTCCCAAAGCGATATCGATTGTCACACGGTTAGCA